CTCTCCTCCTCTCCTCTCTCTCTCTCTCTCTCTCTCTCTCTCTCTCTCTCTCTCTCTCTCTCTCTCTCTCTCTCTCTCTCTCTCTCTCAGCAGCATAAGTGATTTCCTTTTTTTCACGAGACAATCGGCCGCCCTACTCTCTTAAGAAGTAATTTCTCACATTGTCGGACCACCCCATGAGCTGTCAAGCTACGTCTCTTCGTCGATTTGTACTTCTGTATCTTGGTCGTATTGCGCATGTCTCGAATACGAGCAACGTGAGCTCCGCTCATTAGCATTCCCACAGCGTTGTCTTCTTTCCATGTTCCGTCGCGTTGTGTCCGATCGAGAAACTAATTATCTAACGTCACGGCCTTAGTCTCAGGATCATTCATTCTTGCTGGTCGCGCGCCCGAGGTGCCTTCATCTAACACTGCCACAACGATCTCCCGCGTAATATACGCGTTTCTACTTTTTTTCCGACTTACGAGAGCATTTTTCGAGAACTAGATGGAATCCAACCGAATCAACTACTACTTCGAAGCAAAAACACAAAGCAGCGGTTGAACATAAGAAAACGAATACTTGTCTTTATATTTCATGATTGTTGTATGTCTATTATTTTCTATGTCTACATCTATTATTTTGTACAAACTTCATTATGTCAAAATTAAAGTAATTTATTATTATTATTATTTTAAATTAATTTATGTATTATTTTATTTGACATTATACTTACACTCTTTGTCGCACAAATTTTTCCATTGAACATATTTTGCAAAATTTTAATATGAGAGGATTTTTGAAAACGCTGATTGCTGATCTGAAGTCAAAATTAAAAAATCAAAATGATGGATTTTATATAGAAACCAAATTAAAAAGAATTAACTCAGAGTCTTTATTTACTATTAAATTTTCTATGTATAAAATTTTCTACGTAAGAGTTTTTTAGACTTCTGATTTCAAATTTTCAAACTGATTGAATCTAAAATTTAAAAACAAAATAGCGTTCCAAAAAATATCGAAAAAATTGTTTAATGACAAAATCTCGTTCTTGGAATAATCCAAAACTAACGGTGAGGACGTGGTGAAATTCTAATTCCATATTTTGTTTTAATTTTTTAAATATTTTTTTAGTTTTTTATTTATTGATTTAAAAAAATTTTTTTACCTTTTCAATAGAGTTTTCATTAGAGATGCTTTTATTATAAAATTGTTATATAAAATATTTTTTGATGTCTCGATTAATCTTTGAGGTATAACGGAAAAAAAATGTTCTGCACATGTATAAAAGGAGATTTTATTTCTTAAAACTGTTTTTGGCCCAAGCAATTTAAATTCATGTTTTTACATATCTATATGTATGCACACATAAAGAATAAAGTATATGCGCGCACGCGGAGACAGAGAGAGAGAGAGAAAGAGAGAGAGAGAGAGAGAGAGAGAGAGAGAGAGAGAG